TTTTGACGTCCAACATGCATTTCGTGCGTAAGGGTTGCGATTGACACCTCAAAGTCGCAATTTTTCCTCAGTTTTTGACGTCCAACGTCCATTTCGTGCGTAAGGGTTGCGCGGGACACTTCAAAGTCGCAATTTTTCCTCAGTTTTTGACGTCCAACGTCCATTTCGTGCGAAAGGGTTGCGCGCGACGCTTCAAAGTCGCAATTTTCCTCAGTTTTTAACGTCCAACGTCCATTTCGTGCGAAAGGGTTGCGATGGACAAAGTAAAATCGCAATTTTACCTCAGTTTTTGGCGTCCAACGTCCATTTCGTGCGAAAGGGTTGCGTTTCGTGGCGCTCCGGCGGCACCGCCCCCGCCTAAAGAGAGAAATAGAAGAAGAGCGAGAGGAGATCTGCAGATGTGAAGGTGTGAAGATGTAGATCGGCAGATGTGAGGGTGTGAAGATGTAGATCTGCAGATGTGAGGGTGTGAAGATCTAGATCTGCAGGTGTGAGGGTGTGAAGATCTAGATCTGCAGGTGTGAGGGTGTGAAGATCTAGATCTGCAGATGTGAGGGTGTGAAGATCTAGATCTGCAGATATGAGGGTGTGAAGATCTAGATCTGCAGATGTGAAGGTGTGAAGATCTAGATCGGCAGATGTGAGGGTGTGAAGATGTAGATCTGCAGATGTGAGGGTGTGAAGATCTAGATCTGCAGATGTGAAGGTGTGAAGATCTAGATCGGCAGATGTGAGGGTGTGAAGATGTAGATCTGCAGATGTGAAAGATCTAGATGTGCATGTGAGAGGGTGTGAAGATCTAGATCTGCAGATGTGAGGGTGTGAAGATCTAGATCTGCAGATGTGAAGGTGAAGAGATCTAGATCTGCAGGTGTGAGGTGTGAAGATCTAGATCTGCAGGTGTGAGGGTGTGAAGATCTAGATCAGCAGATGTGAAGGAGTGAAGATCTAGTATAACGGCTGCTTTTTTACGAAGAACCCTTCGCAGGCGCTCTCGGGAAAAAATCCAAAAAATGCCTTTGTGGATAGCCTATTTTCTGCTACAGTTCAACCCCTGAATTTGCTATGTACTAGGGGGAATGCTGCCCTTTTTTCACCAGCATTGTTTTTTTCTACTACTTAGAGTTTTAGGCTCATTTTGCCACCCCCTATTCCATTTATACTACCCATGCCTTTCCATCTCCAACCCTCACACCACCTACGTACCATGTATCTGTTATATCCTGTATTAATTTAGGTATTACATGGTAATATGTTCTGTATTACATTAAGTATGTACTATGTACTTGCATTGCACTTGAAGCCATTATGTTCTTTGTACATTCTTCTTTTCACTATCTAACTAATATGCTAGTTATGATCATGTGTATAATCTGTACCTTATATTCTCTGTAATATGCAATAATAGTCCAGATTACAGGCAAGTAGTTGAAGCCTCTGCAGCAACCATTCCCACCACCACAGTCTGGCCCAGTTACACCTGCTTCCACTCAGCAGCCACAAACTCATAATTCACCACCTTGGGGTGGCACCATGGTGGTGATGCAAAGTGTGATCTGCAGTGGGACACCCCAGCCCCACCCTCACATTGAATAGCCATGGAGTAGCCCATTGCTTAGCCTAAGGTGTGCCCATGCTCATGAGCTCAGGTGTGCATGCCACTGCAGATGCAGCTTGTTGAAACTTGGATGGTTGGCCCCCACAAATGTTAATCATTCATTGCAGTAATTGCATGAGTTGATACCCACATCCACACCTGGAAATGGTATTATGCCCCATGCTTCCCCTAATCTCAGCATAGCCAAGCCACTCCCTCACTGCATAGATGTACAGAGCCAGCATACCACCATATCATAACTCAGCAGCCTCAGCTTCACATCTTGAAGCGCTGGCCATGTGCTCATGGACCTTGCTTGGTACCATGGTGCTATCAACCCTGGGCCCCAGCAAGCTTTATAATGCTTAGCAACCCAAATAGAAGTCTTGAAAATGCTTCATAAACAGGTACCCATTGATGCTTCCAACAACCAAACCCATCTGGTGGCTCCAAGTACATTGACCTAGCTTGAGATTATGGATCTGAACCCCAAATGATTCCCATTTCCACCCACATTCTAAAACCCAAAAGATCAACATTTGGTGGTTCCAAGGCCCCCTAGCTTTAAATGCTGGATTCCATCCACAGCTTTACTGGGTGGTGCCAAGCCCATCTTAGAACCAGAAGCTTTAAATAATGGATTCCAACCAGAACCTGAACCCAGAACCCAAAAGATAGCCTTTGGTGGTTCCAGGTCCATCTTAGAGAAGGGTATGCCTGAAACAAATCTTCAGCTCATACCTTACCATTTGTGTCCCCTCACCACCCATCCATTTCAGCCCACTCTGTCACTGTCTGCAGCAGTCAAAGGCAAACCTGCTAGTCTCTCAAACTCTGCCCTGGTTGGCATCTGAATTGTGGTTCAGTAATGAACTAAAGCCCTGTTTGTGTAGAATTCCCTGAGCAAATGGCACAAACAATGGCAAGGCCTTGGGCAACTCAGATCAATTGAGCAGCCAGAAAGACACTGCACCACTTTGTACTCCCCCACCTTGTGGATCTCCATTCTGGATGACCCACTGTGGACAATCATGGTATCACTATTCAAGACAAAGGGTATCAAGTGGCCCTCAGGACCAGGGATCCATCGAACCTTATCTCTTGAACAATCCCTATCCACCTCCAAGTCCAAGTGCCTCAATCTTTTCAATGGTGGCTGCTCACTAGCTGTGACTGTGCTCCCATCATCCAAAGGCAATGACATTGACATGGCCTTCACATCTTCCACCACACCACTGCTAATAGGAGTTTGGGCCTCAACCCCTTCACCTGCTGGTGTATCAAATGAATCTAGCTGAGTGGCAGCCACCATGGCAAGCTGCTCAAAGCCAAAGCCTTTGAAGTTTCAAGTGGGACTTGAGCCAAATATCCTTACAATTTACCTAAGGAACCCCTATCATTCTGATTGAATTATTTGACCTATAATTATTACCATACTATAGCAATCAGCCCCCATTGGTTTCAAAGTGGTTTGGCCATGCACTCTACATATTCTTGGGCAATGGATGCCACCACCCATGAAGAAGCATACAATTGGCAAATGTGCCCCAGCCCTTCACCAGGGCCACCAGCAATACCAGCAGCTGATGCCAAGCAACTCCACTGCCAGGCTCATTTCTTCTGATTGCCTGGGATGGGGGGTAACATGACATGGGTTGAGTGGTAGCCTGGCCCAAGAATTGCTGGACCCACTGCCCAGCCCCACCACACCAACCCCACAAGCTTACAATCCAAGGTACTAAACATCTGTGCCACAGTTTCTTGGGTCTTTGCTTTCTTCTGTTCTGCATCCTTCTTCAACTTCTCTTCTGCCTCCTTCTTCACCTTCTCTTCTGCATCCTTCTTCAACTTCTCTTCTGCCTCCTTCTTCAACTTCTCTTCTGCATCCTTCTTCACCTTCCCTTCTGCATCCTTCATCAACTTCTCTTCTGCCTCCTTCTTCAACTTCTCTTCTGCCTCCTTCTTCACCATCTTTTCTGCATCCTTCTTCACCTTCTCTTCTGCATCCTTCTTCAACTTCTCTTCTGCCTCCTTCTTCAACTTCTCTTCTGCCTCCTGCTTCAACTTCTCTTCTGCATCCTTCTTCACCTTCTCTTCTGCCTCCTTCTTCACCTTCTCTTCTGCCTCCTTCCTCAACTTCTCTTCTGCCTCCTTCCTCAACTTCTCGTCTGCCTCCTTCTTCAACTTCTCTTCTGCATCCTTCTTCACCTTCTCTTCTGCCTCCTTCTTCACCTTCTCTTCTGCCTCCTTCCTCAACTTCTCTTCTGCCTCCTTCCTCAACTTCTCTTCTGCCTCCTTCCTGAACTTCTCTTCTGCTTCCATCCTCACTTTTGCCTCTATCTCTTTCTTGAGCTTTTCCTCTAGCTCCTTCCTGAGCATGGCTTCCTCCTTCTCCTTCTTCATCCTCTCCTCCTCTGCCTCCTGCCTCAGCTTGTCCTCTTCTGCCTTCATCCTGATCTTGGCCAACTCTTTCTGGGTCCTTTCCTCTGCTTCTTGCTTCAACCTGGCCTCCTCCATCTTCATCTTCTGTTCAGCTTCTACAATGGCTGCTCCTGCTTCAGCCATTTTGGCCTGGCTCTGCATCCTCCTTTCTGCATCCTGTCTGGCTTTCTCCTCTGCCTCTTTCTTGTTCCTTTCCTCCTGCTCCTCTGCTTCCATCTGGTCTTTGAGTTTCTGCCTCATCTGTTCCTCTAGCTGCTTTTTCTGCTTCTCTGCCTCCTTCTCCTCCAGCTCCTGCTTCTTCTGCTTGACCAAGTCTTGCAAGGGAAGCTTACTGTCAGCCTCAGCACCTGGGCAACAGTGGGGGGCAATGCACACATGTCAGCAGCACACAGTGACTCAGTGAAACAGTTATTGCCACCTTTTAAAATAAAGTTTATGCTGATCTTTCTCCATTGCCTTGCCCCCTGAATTCATGGGTGCAACCACACCATGAGCCCAATCCTGCCTCCAATGGCTGAGTTCATAGCCCCCATGAAGGAGGCCAAGCTGCTTTGCAACTTCCTTTGTGGTTCAAACTCTTCTGGCACCTCTTTCAGTCCCAGCAGCTTCTGTGCCCAGGCAGCCTCAGGCTGCTGCTTTGCACAGTCCACCTCAGAACACATGAAATGTCCATGACTTGAACCAAATAATTCATAACATGGTATATATGTATATATTATTATACATTGAACTATTTGATCTATACTATTATAATACTCCCCAACCAATGACTTGAACCACACTTGCTCCATGGAATCAATAATAATACCTTGTCACTAGCCATTCCCCCCATTCAGGCCCACCCCAGTGACAATTCAAGTCAAGGTGCAAGGTGCCTGACCCAGCCCTGGTAGTAGTCATCTGAGTGGTAGAGCTGCTTGCAGTCAAAGGTCATAAGGGTAGGTGGAGGCCCTTTGATGATATGCCTCCAATGGGGGCAAGACCCATCATGACATGGCATGGCTCATCACAGCAGCTGCCATCTGATGCTCAATTCATGATGGCAAACAAATTCAAAGACCAAATGTTGTAATTAAAATGAGTCAAGTCAACCCCTGGCCTTCCCTGGTCATAAGCCTTGATTGCTGGGACTCCATAGGGGAAATAGGTACTTTGGCTTTCCTCCTTAGGCATCACATCATCATGAATGAACAATGGATGGCAAAACAAACAAACAAACTGACCATGAACAAAACCCCTGCCCTTGGCACTGCAGTCTTGCAGCCAAGGCTCCCTCCCTGCTGAACAGCCATGAATCCCCTCCTTTGGAAATCTCTACATAGTGCTGTGGTCTTGGATCAGCACCACCACCCTGAGTTCAACCCATTATGACCAAACATTAAGCTGGCAAACACATACCAAAAGTTTCAAAGTGAGCAAACAGTGAACAGCTCAAATCAACCTTTTTGTTTGCAGCCCCAGGCACTGCAGCTCCCTGCTGGTTGGGGTACTTGCCATGGAACACATCATCCCACCCATACTTCATTGCAACTTCGTCCTAGGTTTGCTCATGTCTATCTGGGTCTATCTGCTAGATGAAGTCCCCCACTGCAACAACTCACAACAATTCAATGTTTAAAGGCCACACTCACATGATCACAAACTGTTTGCACCCCAGGTGTCCAGGTTGGAGTAGTCATGGTTCACCTCTGAGAGCCTGTTCTCCCCACCTTCCTCAGCTCAAAAGCCTTCTTGGCCTCCAGCAGCTTGTCTCTCCTGAGTCTGGCAATGGTTGCCACTGGGCACTGTGAATGCCAATGACCAATGACTGTGACCAGCTGCTGAAGGTTGACCATGCACACACCTATTTTTTTAAATATCAAACTTTCAAACCTTGCAACCCTGGATGAACCTCAGGAAATTCCACTGATACCATGCCCCTTCAAAGTTTTGGCCCACCCCCTGGTGAATGGGCTTTAACACTGGTAACTATGATGGTGGTGATGGTGGTGCCCATAGAATTTACCTGGGGTCCTACTTCTTGCTCCAAAAAACGGAAGCCCAAATTGTATACATTTCACTAGGCCAGGTGGCTACCACTGATGATGATAATGATGATGGTGGTGGTGGTGGTGATGATGATGGTATTGATGGTTGATGATTGATGACTGATGATTAATGATTGGTGATCATGATGATGATGATGATGATGAGGATGAGGATGAGGAGGATGATGAGGATGATGAGGATGATGAGGATGATGGGGATGATGAGGAGGAGGAGGAGGAGAATGATGATATTGATGAGTGATGATTAATGATTGGTGGTTGATGATGATGCTGATGATGATGCTGATGCTGGTGATTATGATGATAATGATGATGATGATGATTATGATGATGATTATTATCATTACTATTATTATGATTATTCTTATCCTTATTATTCTTATTATATATTTATATTTATTATTTTTATTGTTGATTATTATAATCATTAAATTTATTATCCTTATTATTACTGTTGTTGTTATTATTATTATTTATGATCATTACCATTATTTTTACTAGTATTATTATAATTATGATGATGATGGTGATGGTGGTGGTGGTGATGATGATGAGGATACTGATGATTGATGGTGGGATTGGTGGTTGGTGATTGATGGTGGTGATGGTGATGCTGATGATGATGATGATGATGGTGATAATGATGATGATGATGGTGATGGTGATGATGGCTAGTGGTGAGGATGATGGTGTTGATGATGGTGATGGTTATGATGATGATGATGAAGATGATGATGCAATTGGGATGCAACCAAGCAGCAGTTCCCCTCGGTTTCTGGGCCTCAGCTCCTTCACCCTGAGGAAGGGAGGAAGGCCAGTCATCAGATACAAGGCCATGCCCACTTGGCAGTCAGATAGCATCTGTCTCTGGCCTCAGTGCAGGCCAGTCTCAATCTCAAAGGGTGATGCACAGGTCTTGGGTTAAGCCAAACATGATGCACAAAGGGTGCTTTCTGTTCATTGGATCAATTTTTGGAATATATAGTTACATACTCTATCACTTTGGCCCCCGCCATCTGGAAAGACTGTGGGGTCCAGTGCCTTCAGGTACCTCAGCAAATCCCTCCTGCCAGCAGCTGAAGTGTTCTCAACCAGAAACAACATTTGAAACATAATATGATAGATCTCCAATGTGAGTTAATGAGCCATAGCTGCAAACACTGGAGTTTATATATATATGCAATGTGAAGTTGAAACACAGCTGCACACATGCTCCTGGGGAAGGTGTTTGTGCCACCAGATTTCCCTGCAGTTTTTGCCAGCTGACACTTTGGCACATCCCTCTTGTCCAGCTCCTCACCTCAATGCTCAGAAGTTGGGCCACTACACTGGGCTCAATGCCATGTCAAGCAATGATGGCACATTGCCCAGAATTATCTCAAATCACATCATGTTATGATATGTCATAGAGTCATAGGTGTATCACATCATGCCATGATACTGTGGATGGAAGGAATCCTGCACCAATTGGTAACTATTGGGAACTATAAAACACTGTAAATAATGATGGGATTACAATGGGATAAACCATCTACTAACTGGTGCAGGGCTTCCTCCATCCACAGTATGTCATAGGTGTTGGTCCACATGGCCCACCATAAATGCAGCCCCAGGTTCTTTCTGCATCTGATGACTCACCCAGCTTGCCTCAGTGGCAAATTTGTATAGTCTCAGCCATAGCATGGCATAACCTAACTAGTTAGTTGCACCTGTGTGCAAGCCTCACATCACCCAAATATCTTGGAAGCAACATCCACTTACCAGCCAAACCCCAAGTCCAGAAACCCATCCAACAACCACACCCCCACAGAATAACTCATGGCTAGGATCGTTTTGGTGGTTGCTTTTCTTTCTTGTCCTTCTTGTCCTTCTTCTCCTTCTTGTGTTTCTTCTTCTTCTTCTTGTCACTGGAGCTTGACCTAAGCAAGTGGGCCATTATGGAAAGCAAGTTGGACAAATGGATGGCAGCAATCAGTTTCACCAGCAATGCATTCCCATTGCATGATGCATACAGGGCTACAACAAAAGGAAGTGGAATGTTGAGTTCATGCATACAATCTCAATGCAATGCCAGTGTCATTGCAATGCACCCAGACTTACCAACACAAATCCAAGTGCAATGTCAACCTCACTGGTTCCAAAGAAGTTGGATGGGGTTGCCAAACTAGCCTGATGCATTGCCACCTGCACCATTCAGCCAAGCATCGAAGGTGAAGAAGATCTGGAGTAGCCTGAGCGAAGTGATGTGGCAGTGTGTCAAAACCTTGTACCCCTGGTGAACATCAAAATAGCTGGTAAATGGATGTTCATCCCCCTAAAACTTGTATTAATAGGTATTGATCCATACCCATGTGAGGAAGGTGACTCATAGCATAACCAACCTACCAACTTCCCAATGCAAACCTCCAACACCACCAGCCAAGAAACTGCTGTCCTCCCTGCCCTCATCATAGGTGGATATGTCAGCCAGGCTTCTTACAGACCCAGCACCACCAGTAGAAGCTGCTGACCCACCACCACCACTAGGAGGGGACCAAAATGGTCCAGGACCAGTAGGAGCCATCCTTTGCAGCAGCAAACTGATGATGATGCCAATGATTGTCCAATGGTTCAGCTTCAAATGGCTCAGCTTCAAATTCAAATGCAGCCACAGGCACTGTCCAGGGCCCCAAGTAGGGTAATAGCCAGGCTGCATGTGCCTTGGCAAAGGCTGCAAAAGTTACTGGCTAAAGTGAAAGAATCCACCATCATACACAATGTAATGTTTCAATATTCAATAAATATTCATGAGCATATTATAATATAATCAATAAACTTTATAGTATGATAATAGTATAGGTCATGATTCCAGTCAAATCCAAGGTACTCAGGCAAGGTCGCCCTTCTTTTTTTCTTCCTATGCTGGCCCATCAGCACAGCAAAGGGTCCACACTGTCCACACTCGCGCAGCTCTGAGCAAAACGCTGCAATTGGACTGGCCCACATGCCAACCTCTCAGACAATGAATGTCATTGAAATTATTTGGAATTAAATTTAATGATTATGAATGTTAAAGAATTAACTCTGATCTTCAAAAATGAGTCCATGAGAGCTCCTAGTGATGAGAGGCCATGTTCCCAATGAAGAGATTTCCCTTTAGCAAATCATCCGCAGGATCTGCTTTGGGCGCACCATGGGATGCAAGCAAGTCAGCCTGGGCAAATCCTGCATGTGCCTCTTGGACTTTGTCCTGGCTGAGATTGCAAGAGTCCAGAAATGATCGGCACAGGTCGCATTCTGGCCAAGTGTTCGATCGCAACGTCTGGGTCAAAAAAGCACAGCCACCTTTTGGACGCACTGCCGCTTCCTTGACCTTTGCATGTTGACGATGGAAGGCCAGAAATGCATGGTAAGACACTTTGCGCTGTCCCAAGAGTTCTTTGAAAGCTTGATCTGTCAGTTCCTTCTTGGTCACAATCTTGCTCTTGCAAGTTCGGGTGAAATGTTTTTTGCGGACCGTAGATCGGGCCCCCATGGGTTCATGTACCTCCCCAAAATCATCCTCAACATCATCTCCAAAATCCACTTGTAGACAATCCTGACAATCCCTATTCTCTGGAACTTTCTGTTGCACTTGATGAAACGCATCTTCAAGGTCAGGGACATTGGGCTCCAAACATGCCTGCATCTTGCCTGTCCCAGGAGCACGTAGGGTAGAGGACTTCGGCTGTGGTTTGCCAAAAGGAACCCATCTTGTTTCGCTCACCCGGGTTGGCTCAGCTCTTCCTTTTTCGGGCTCAGGTGAAACCCGTGGAGGCGTCACAATGTCAATGCCACCATCATCAACAGAAGTTTTTCTCTTGGTATTCTTTCGAGGGGTCTCCGGCACATTTTGAACATTTTGGCAACACCTCACGAACAGGTGCTGCCACTC